AAGTATAAATTTAAGCCTACGGTCAGTAATTGGGAAAAGCACGTCTCAATTAGAAATAAATGCAATAAGGTGTATAGGGACGCACAACGCCATAATATTCACGAGTCTGTCCAGAATGGAGATCCAGCTAAAATCCGGAAATTTCTTAGATCAATGTTAGTTGGAAAATCACGCAACGAAATCTCCTTCAAAAATTTCAATATTGATTTGCTCAATATTTTTTTCTATGCTTCGACCCATTTTGATGGTACTATGAAAAATAACACATTAAATGCTCTTTCATCAATTCCTTCCCGCGACTACCCGCCTTTTTTTCTGAATCAATTCTCTGCTTGTGATGTTAAGAAGAGTATTTTATCTATAACGTCAAATGCAGTCGGCAGTGACTGTCTTTCCCGTAAAATGATCCTTCCTATCCTTGATTTCCTTCTTCCTACTATATGTCATATTTTAAATTCCTCGATCACCATGAGCATATTCCCATGTTCCTGGAAAGATGCAAAAATAATTCCTTTACCTAAAAAACACCACCCTTCGTCCTTTTCCAATTTTCGTCCAATATACATATTACCATTCCTATCCAAAGTCCTCGAACGCCTCGTACATAGTACGAGTTAACAGTAAATCCATTTTAAACCCTTTACAATCTGGGTTTCAACCTGGCCACAGTACTGTAACAGCCTTGGTCAACATCACAGAGGATTAAAACATGTAGAAAAAGTACGAAAAGATGGTCGCCGCTGTGGGAATCGAACCCACGTGTCATCGGCATTCGCGGCCTTACGCTCTAGCCACTGAGTTAAACGGCTGATAGCCACAGCGACGAAAATCTTAATGCCTTCCTTCTACATTGTTATTTAACATTAGAAGCAATGCTTGGCGCATCTATTGTTATATCCTTTCCAGCATACAAACAATTTCGAATATCGTTTTACAACGATAATTCGAACTAGAGATGTGGCCATTGCTTTTTTACAAATTTTAAAGTTTTTTATAGTGCTAATCTCTGCACTTAAGATTGAACATTAAAACATGTAGAAAAAGTACGAAAAGATTGTCGCCGGTGTGGGAATCGAACCCACGTCTTCGGCATTCGCGGCCTGACGCTCTAGCCACTGAGCTAAACGGCTGATAGCCACAGCGACGAAAATCTTAACGCCTTCCTCGAACCCACGTCAGGTCATAATTGTTATTTTTAATGTATTCTTGTTACCATGGTGTGTGCAATAAAGAATATTCATTCATTCATTCATTCATAAGATATATTTCTTAATTTTAATACTTCGTTAGGAATATAAATACAAACTATATTCAATGTTAATGTAATTCAATTATAGACTTAATGATTGAGGTGTCTCATTTCAAAAGAAAAGATGATCGACATTTCTATCGTCAATGAAGAAAAGCCACTGAATGAAGTATATAACGATATAATAAGATTCTCATGATTGTTAATATTTGTAGCTGTAACTACTAAAATAAGTGAAATAAACTTAATCTTTACTTCTGTAAACGTGTAATATAATAATTTAATGCCATTTTACTCTGACTATTAACAAGAATGGCTTGAGTACGTACCTGAAAGTAATTTATGTTGCCGAAAATACATAATAGGTAAAAGTTGATGGATAAATTTTTATAGAGACTAAACTTCATGTTGTGTTATTACCTATAAATTTATTACCTGTATTATCTTCCATCAAGAAGCTGGTGTTGCTTATAGAAAAGGAAAAAAATATATTTTTCAAGATAAAAACAGTTTTCAATCAACCCAATAATAAAACTTATGCAAATATATGTTTAAGCCATTTCCTACACGAGAATGAGTTCAAAAGATAATGACCCCAGTTGGTGTTATAAACGATCCCTTTAATTTTGCGCCGGGTGCTTGAGACTTTGAGCAAATTATGACCTCCTGGGCAATACTTGCCGAGGAAATACCGCAGTGTACTAAAGGAGTTTGCCGTATTTCCCGAGCATAAAGAAGCTATCATAGCAATTTAAGGTAAAATAATTACGACACGAAAAGTGAAGGTTCCGAAAACTTTTCAGCTTATATTTTTTCACATTAGTAATGGGCCATGGCACAGAGTGCAAGGATAAGAAAATTACAAATCAGCCTTTTTTTTATTCTTTAAACAATTTGTTTTTTCAATTCGCATACTACAATAACTTTTAACTATCGCATTCACAATGCGTTTTTATTGTGACAACAGCCAAATAATGATTTGTTATATACTAGCTTTTCGCTCACGGCTTCGAACGCGTTGAAGCTCATAAATAAATATATTTTTTTTGATATAAAGATCGAAATAGAAAAGATAATCCTATTTCCTTTGCAATACCTCTAAGAATATGTGTACAAAGTTTCATGATAATCGGTTGAGTAGTTTTGGCTTGAAAGCGAAACAAACAAACTTACATTCACATTTATAATATTAAAATTAGGGATAAGGGATCACATATTAAAACTTCAAAAGTTATGAAAGTGTTTAATAGCCTCAAATAATATTGCGATACATACTAAATAATCCAAAATAATTTCGCATTATCATTTTGTAATTGTGGAAGAATTAATTTCCCCACCCGTTAAAAATTAATATATTTTAAAACCTTTAACGTAATTGTATGGACTGTTTTAATTAATGAAAGAGCTTGCGCCATCAATTATTTTGCCTGTCCTACAAAAAACTCTTGTTAAAATCATATAAGTACGTAGTAGTAATACGTGTTTGAAACTTTTTATATAATAGAGAAATATCTAAAAGTAGTTTTAAGTTTCTTACATCCCCTTTTAAAAGAATAAATACGTAAAATAAAAGCTGTTGAACCAAACATCTATCTAAAACGAGAGTAATGTTGTTAGCTTTAAGTTCTTTGAACTATTGCCTCGACAACGCGCCGACAACCGTCTGAAGACGCACTCCCTCTTTCTAAAAGTATTACTAACATCTGAAGTGACAACGATATAGCAATTAACGTTGTTTAAAGAAGAAACAAATGAAACTTTGAAAAAAACCATCCTCTCTAAAGCCTCGAATTATTACTATTGGTGATAAAATGGCACATTTGATTTCCACGTAATTGGGGAACGGCCATTTATCGGCACAGATTGCAAATGATCAGGTCGGGCAATTTCGCTCTCACAAAATTCGGTATATTTCAAACGGCACATCAAGGTTTATGGCGACATTGTTGGAGGTTTGTGCCTGAAGGCAATCTAGTCTCGGATGTATCGTACCGCGTCAATTGGGCACCTTCACGCATCCTTCTGCCTTTTCCATATTTATTTTATTTTCCTTTCGAAGAATTTTTAATAACACAGGTGATATTGAACCCGGAATAATAAGGTTATGAATTTATGTCTTAAAATTCGAACTTTATAAACGGATTCGATTGATTCGATATTGAAAGGTTCAGGATTTTCAACAGTAATTTATGGAATAACAGTACGTGATCAGACCATCTTCATATAGATGACAATAAAAATCACAACTAATTCAGTTTCAGTAATTTAAACCTAGACTCAGCTGGAACAACAAAAAACGTTCCTTCCTTAAAACTTGGAATGGAACAATTTCAAATTTATTTCGACAAATTAAAATTTTAAATAATTTATAATTTACTTTTAAACTCATAAAATAAATGTAATGCATAAAATTTAAACAAAAACATATAAGTTTTTGTTTAAATTTTATCAAGCCTTTATTATAAAAAAAAACTACACTGTAAAAATAACTCGGAATCAAAGAATTCTTTTTCACAGCGTGATAATTTAATGATGTTGTAACTAATTTTTTACCCAAATATTTACATAGGTAAGTTATTATACGTACAATTATAATTAATTACCTGAATGAGATGGGGCACTAGGCTTTTTACTCTCTGACCTGAGCTTAATTCAGAGTACATGCGTCATACATATGCTAATGATAAAAAACGAATGTTAGAAAAGGGAAAATTAATTTCAAACTGTTCAATCGAATTATGTACCACCGTCCTACGCCTTCCTTATTCTTCTTTTTCCAATGCTTGGTGGAAGTTAGGGAAATTTATTAAAACGCATTTTCGATAATCCGTATACAGATAGCGTTTTCAAATCCAATATCAGAATAAATTGTCCAATACAAGTAGTAGGAATTTTGAGCTCCCTAAATATGTAGAGGTGCTAATTAAACTTAAAATTAAAAAAAAATAAACTAAGTAACATACATAGTTTCAGTTTCCTGAAACAGTATAGTGCACGTTCTAGCCGTGATTACTGATTCGATATTCGACTTAAACATTGCCATCATAATTTATATGGCTAGGATCATCTATAGTTCCAATTTTTTTTTATCTCAATTTAGAAATTTTCTTGTACATTCTTAACTTTTACCTATAAGTACAAATGTGGTTACCTACAGAACTATAAATTGGTCTAAAAAACTTAATTACGTAACAGCACAGACGCTATTTATAAAATTCTAACGCTAAACTATTTAAGTAAATATGATAAATAACTAATATTATCTTTCACAATATTTCTTCTGTTATTAGTACTTCTAGGTGAAACTGAAATATTTCGTAGTACCAACGTTTTATGCCGTGTAGTCATTTATTATTTTGGAGAATTATATGTTTTTAATTTAATTATACCCGTCAATAGTTACGCAACCACTGTAGTTATTCCTACGCGCAGTCCTTAAAATATTTTTTAAATAAAAAATCTAAACACAACCATTTTTAATTAATACCTAGAGCAAAGATTTAGTTGTCTTTTAATTTTTAAAACATAAAACTATCATGTTTTTATATTAAAAGCGATTATCCCATGCGCACGCGTTCGAAACTAAAATACAAGTTAACCAAAGGAAACCAAGAATTAAAAAAAATTAAAACTGACCTGAACACATGCAGCGACTGGCCGCGACATATTTTCTAAAAAACACAAGAACCGTTTACTTTCGTCCCTATTCAAAAATCACGCACTATTTGTAACGGCGAAAGTTGTAGTTTTAGGCGGTGTACGCCGCTCCGACGCGGGTAGGCGAAAGTTGCAGCGGCAAACGTGTGGAGGGCCCCCGTGCCGCCAGAGTATTGGCGGGCGGGGGTGCGAGCGACTGAAGGTGGAACGGGAGTACTGAAGGTCGCATGCGCGCAGGCCCTCCGCGCCCGGAGTCGGTTGACGTCACGCGGAGTCCGCCACGGGGCCGCCTGATTCGTGGACCACGGCCTCGACACGCTCGCATCGCTTTGCGAAACGGCTATATCAAACCGCTTTAGGGACCGAAATCTTGGCACCGCCGACGAACTACGACGTGGTAATCGGCAACTTCTGATAGCGGCTTCGGACCTGTAGATAAAAATTTATGAAAGACACGATATTACACGTTGAAAAGTTTAAATGATGTAAGGGCCCAAGCCGCATAAATTTATTTTTTAATTATAATATGTCATAAAAAAACCAAGCCTTCACTCAATATTTTCATTGATTACTATTACTTTACTAACAATAATATAACAAACCAAAAGAGAGTAGACTTGTCGAAAAAAAATTGACAACAAACTACATACATATTCGTAGAAGTCTCATGTCATTTGTGCAACCAATCTCTTTGTATTAGCTTCCCTACACTCGACAACCATCAACAGTAGTGTGATTCTTCTATCTGTAGAACATCACAAGCGAATCGTGCGTAGTTGGGTTTTGTTGCGGTACCAAAATAGAGCTGTATTTTTATTTACAATTGTTATGGACAGAGTATTACTATTTACTACTAAGTGCACATTAATTTTTTATCTTATCGTTTATTTTAATTTATTGCTCCAAGAGATTGGATGGATTTGCTGTTATTTTTATATTGTTTTGAAATGTATATTTTTTTTCTTTAATAACTGTTTCGTGAATTATTATTGTATTATTAGAATAACGGAGGATTCACAAAATCCGACTTCGATTGCGATCTGCCTAAATCTAATGCACAAAACTTAAAAAGCAATAGTATCATCATCATCATCATTTCAACCTGTTTGAGTCCACTGCTGAACATAAGTCTCCACCATAGACTGACACGAAGCACGATCCTGAGCCAGCTGCATTCATCCTGACTCAAACAGGCTGAAATGATGATGATGATAACTTGTATGCTAGACGTTAATTTTTTATGGCGTTTGCGATGGCAGAGCCATGTACTTGTCTACTCTACGCTACTGCTTTTGCAATAATGGACATGTTGATTTTCTGGGTAAGTGAGTATTATCATTGCAATGTAACAATATTCAAAAAATTCCAAGAAGTGCATGGATGCTAAGGCGGCTAAGTTGTTATTACAATTTATTTAGCTTTGTTTCGCCAATCCTGAATCTAGTTGGCACGGCATACCTATGTCGTTGCGTATTTTTAATCTGTTTCCCATAAATTTGATTTAAGGAAGTCTGATGAGTCTACGCCTATAGATGTTGATTTAAAAATGCACCGCATTTTATTTTCGGATTATCTTTGATCTCTATAACGATGAGACTTGAAAATCTTCACCAAAATGGACCTTACAGATTCGCTAAGTAAACGTGGGTGTGAAGCGTACTTTGTAATTATAAAATTTGAAACCTCTTTTGAAAAAGTTTAATGAATTATTACATTATTTTAACCAATTGTTCTTAGTAAATACTTATTGCGATTACCATTTTGCGGCATTTTATTTTTATATCAAAATTTTAAGGGCAGAATGTCATGGCTATCTGTCTGTTCGAATGAAAAATTTTCTAAAGTACCTAACCGACAAAAAAAAGGATATTTAAATTGGTGCATAAAGCTGTTTCAATGTTTAGATAGAGATTTCAAGCGTTTCTAGGAATCAAGTTATTGGCTTCTTGCTTTACCACCCAGTACCTAATTCGGTCATATTACTTGATAATGAAAAATTAAGTGTAGCATGCTAGTCAACTCATTAAAACTAACTTAACTGCATTAAAATTGTATATAAATTATAGCCTATGTCTTGTTCTGATGTGTAAGCTATATTATTGTAAAGTTTATTAAAATCCGTTCACTAATATTTGCGTGAACATCCATCCATACATACAAACTTTCGCCTTTGTGATATTAGTAAGGATTACTTTTTTAGTATAAATAGCTCGCATCATGTATAATGTATTTACTCATACTCTCTCTCTCTTTACCTGTGTTTGACTAGTTAATGTATTGTAATTATCTTCCGCTAATTAAATCAGTTTGCTTTATAGTCCCGAGTGTTATTTATTGGAAACATAGTCCAAGTAATAGTCCTCGATTAGTCTATCTTAGTAAGTGGAACAGGACAACTTAAATATACACAACATCCACTTCATAAGCATCACTGTGTGTGTCAGGCTAGGAAAACCGGTTTTCAAACTACACCAATACTCTTGTAGTGTCAATGTAGATAAATTTGGTCCCGACAGACCTATAATAATAATAATTCTTTATTTCTCACCAAAGTATTTACATAATATTCCAACTGTGGTAGGACCACGCAACAGTATTCACTGTTGCACGAATGGGCAGGTCCGTCCGGGTAAGAACCACGACCTCACATAAGACCAGCGTCAAGTAGAAGTGTTACACTTCTGCGTTTGGTCTGGTGAGTGAGATAGCCGGGGCCCGCTTTATTTAAAGGTGGTAACGTATTTGCAACCCTGCGGGTGTTGCATATGTCCATGGGCGGCGGTTATCACTTAACATCAGGTGAACCGCCAGCTCGTTTGCCACTTTCTCACATAAAAAAATGTGTTGTTTAGATACCTATAATTTCCTTCACAAGAAACATCAGGTCATGACAAACTTATTTAAAACCTTAACTTCATAGGTTATATAGCAAGTGACTATGCAACCAGAATAATTGACAGTGATTATAATTTAACATTAAAAATTTCAGAATTATAATCATAAAGGATTGGGCTATGCTCGGTATTTCTCTGCGTGATAGAGTTCGTAACGAAGACATCCGCAGTAGAACCAAGGTAACCGACATAGCTCAGAGGATTAGCAAGCTGAAGTGGCGATGGGCCGGCCATATAGCTCGTAGAACCGATAACCATTGGGGAAAAAAGGTTCTCGAGTGGCAGCCTCGTACTGGCCATCGCAGTGTGGGACGACCCCCCCACTAGATGGAGTGACGAGCTGTGCAAATGTGCGGGAAGTCGATGGATGCAGGTGGCTCAGGATTGTACTTCGTGGCAGTCTATGGGGGAGGCCTATGTTCAGCAGTGGACTCAAACAGGCTGAAATGATGATGATGATGAATCATAAAGGATTGCTAATTTTATTCTAATTTGCTTCGATGGACTAACATAACTATTGAAAATCGTTGTCCAAAGCAAATGGCCCTATGTATATGAGCTAAAAGTGAAAATAATTACAGTTATTGAATGCTACTTTTTTTTAAATTCTTCCTTGCCTCCAATTGGATTTGTATATATTTACGCTCCAACGCGTGAGTTTATTAACAATGCATGAAATGAAACGTCTATATCCTGACGTCATATTTATGCTTAATCGCCGTAATACGATGAGATAAATTGGAAATGTACAGGTGTGAAAACATACAAACAAAACCTCTAGGTGTATATTTATATAATGAAGTAGGTCTAATCGTTTAAAATAAAATCTTTGTTATGACTGCCATGTACAGAAACTATTTTATGCAACATCGAATGAATAGCAACTTTCTATTTAAACACGACGTTTTGGTAATGATTGAAAACTGACGATTAGCTAATTATTGAACCTCATAATAGAACCAGACACCTCAATATCAGCAAGTAGCATACATCATAAGTAGTTTACTGTGGTAGGACCATGGAACAGTGTTCCCTGGTTACAAGAATGGGCAGGTCCGTCCGGGTAAGTACCACGACCTCATAGCAGACTGTCGTAAAATAGAAGTATTACAACTTTTGCGTTTCATCTGGTGAGTGAGGTGGCCGGTGCTCACTATATTTAAACGTGGCAACGCGTTTGCAACCCTACGAGTGTTGCAAATGTCCATGGGTGGCAGTTATCACTTAACATCAGGGTGAACTGGCAGATCGTTTACCACTTTCTCACAAAAAAAAATCATCTGAACTTGTGTATAATATAGCTCGTTATAAAAAAACTCAATGTACTTTTTAAGCTTTCCTAGCATACCGAAAACAACACGTTCTTTAGAATCTTAAACTATTAAAATACTATAATTACACTATTCAAATTAGAAATGGTTTCATTAAAATCTATCACAGTACTATGTATTAATGACAATAGAAGTGGTTTCAAAATGTAACAACCAAGAATAAATATTTTATAGGTAATGAGAAGAATATTACGGAAGAAGTGAATATAAACTGTGCACAAATAAGTACACAAGTTAAGTGCAAAATTTTCATAAAAAATTATGCTATGTAATTTTTTTATGAAAATAAAATTGAATATCAATCTAGCAACTGGAAGATGCTTTAAATAAATGTATCTGTAAACAATAGAGGCATGAGTGAAAGATTGTGTGCCTTTGCCTTCAATAGACGTTTACTGTGTTACATTCAGGTAGGATAGTAGTCAAGCACTGGCAATTTTGTGAGTAAAAAAACATATTTTGTTAGGATGTCAACTTTTCTTGAGGCGTCTTTTTTTTAAAGTGAATATTCTTATTATACATGATGTTTTGCTTTCATTCCGTATACTTTCTAAAGATTTATCGGACAAAGAGCTAGAAGAAAGCCTACATTTCCCACGAGTTATACGCTCGGAAAGGCACACAAACGTATACATAGAACAGGCACGCGAGTGTATGCAAATTAATTGCTATAATATGCGTTGTGCTAAGCAAGGTGGTATTCAGCAAACAGCCGATGAAACCTGATATGATGATGCCTACAACAGCCATGGTCTGAGTTAATAGTATTTGGTGTGTGCATTAGACATGAAAAAATAAATATAAGTAAGTAACAGTAGGACGGACATTACAACTTTTAGTTCCTTTTCTTGTGAATGTGCATATTCTCAATATTTGACTATGCGCAAACTTGAAAATAGAACTGTGTAACGAGTTGAGTACACTATTACAAATAAATATATTCTCCTTCAATGCACCGACATCTACTCCGTAGCTTTTCGAATTTACGCGCGCTTCGGCTAACTTCGTCGGGATTCGTTGTCGCGTCGCAAGCGCCATCGTAGTATAGTGCCCGCCCCGGCCATATTACTTTATTGTCTATCTACGCTGTATGTAGTTAA